GCCCTCCTCCCAGACTCGCCCCCACCTCGCGCGCCCGCGCACACACAGGCGCGCGCTCACAGGCACACACGCGCGCGCGCACACACTCCGGACACCCGTCTCTCTCTCTTAGGGAGCAGGACGCGGGCGGCAGGGAGGAAGGGCACCTCCAACCCTGGCAAGAATCTTCCTCCCGACCCTGAACTGATCAGAGGGGCTCAAAGGTACAGGAACAGGGAACGATCTGCTCTCTGCTTCTAATTGGCACGGCCCAGGTCCCTCATCCTCTTCTCTGCCTCTGTGCCTCAAACGGTCACCCATTCCCCATAGACATGAGTGGGCCGGCGAGAAATCGGGTGGCAAGAGAAACTCACCCGTCTCTTTCCAAGGATGCCTGGGTGTGGCAGCCCCTGGAAACCCACGAGCCCCTCCACCTTATCTGCAGCCAGGGCAGGTGAGCTGACCCTTCACCCACATCTGGGCAGAGGCATCTCAGAAGCACTGGGCCCCCCACGAGCACAGGGGCAGAACCCTGCCGTGCTGACCCCTGGAGCAGGATCACAACATCAGAGACAGAGAAGCAACAACTACTGGCAGGACTAGGCAGACAGAGGAATCCCTGGAGGGGAGAGGGGGCAGGAGACACAAGGCAGAAAGACAGGACACTCGTGGGGAGCAGGCGGCAGAGGGAGGGGACGGTCACCAGCAAGCGGCCCAGCACCTGGTCTCTTTCAGCCATCCTCGGGGACCCAGGTTGGGTCTGAAGCCCAAACGGGGAAAAGGGTATCAAAAGATATGCAGGCAGATCAGGCCACCCCACCCTTGTCCACTATGCAGCCTCGGGTGTGGGAGGGACAAGAAAAACCTCCACCTTGGGCCCCACGAAGCAGGCAAGTTCAAGCGTGACGGTCCATGCCCACGGTGACAGTCAGCATCCCCTGTAGGGAGGGGGCCAGTGATGTCAGCACCCTGCCTGGAGCAGCACAAAGCCAGCTCTGTTCCCTCCTGAAAACAGGGTCTTTGACAGGCTCTGAGTGACTCTATTATAAGTCCAGCGAGCATGTGGGATTCCTGTGGTTCCAAAGTCCCCAGTGCCCGGACCACCTACCTCTAACCTCACTGCTATTTGGGCTATTTTCCTGGACACTGCAACTTTGTTCAAACAAAGTGCAGAAGTGGGAACATTCACTGCCCTGATAAGACTGTTCTTCTCCAAGTCAGGGACAGAAAACTCCCACTCCACCGGCCCCCGCCAAGAGAGCCACACAACAGCCTTGGGACGACAGCGGGATCAGCTCCAGGACCCACTACCGATGGGAATCCCGGGAGACAGCAAGGTGCCTGTGTCCGTGGGGAGACCACGGCTGGTGAATCGTCGTGAGGGGGAGGCTGCAGCTTCCACCTGCTGGAAACTCACGCTCTTCACCTTGGGCTCCTCTCTCCACAGTGCTCGTTCGTTGTCTCTGGGGCTGCATCTGACCTGCCTACTGCGGAAGCGCTCCCAAAGGGGAGGCAGGGCTGAGGGAAAGGAAAGGGGTAAGCAGAGCCCCCAGATGCCAAGGCAGCCGTGCGGACCGCTGCGCCCAGATTTCACCAGCAAGAGGAAACGCCAAAGAGAAAACACTCCGTCCGTAACCAAGAGGGAGGGGAAAAGGCAAGGCACCCGAGTGCAGGGACTGAACGCTCGATGGCTTCATGACACGGCCTGTGCCCTGGGAGACTCCCAGACAGAAAGGAAGTTACACTCGGCTTGCAAGGCCAGCGAGAGGCTGGATGCACGTTTTGTAATGACTGCTGTCGGGGGACTGATGTTTTAGGGGATATATCATTACGAGGCCGTCTGTCGGTAAAGCAACAGGCGTGCCCTGGCATGCAGGACAGGTGGTGACACACAACAGTCCCCAAAAGCCAGACTGGCCTCCCGGACTCTGTCTCTGCAGCCAGGAGGTTGAGGTGCGGCTGCGAAGGTCCTGATGGAGGAGGTAAGGGAGGCCGCCGACCACGCCCAGGCCCCGAGCCCCCTGCCGTGGGGACCACAGGGGAGCAGTCAGAGCCCAGAGCCTCTGGAAGGGAGCAACCAAGAGGCCAAAAGCAGGGGAAGAAACGGAGGGAATTCTCCACGCTCCCTCGTCTGCATTCAGTCTGGCTCGTGCTGGTGTGATGAGTGAGGCCTCTGCCTCCGCCTGCCTCACCCTTCGCGCAGTGAGGTGGGGCAGGGAGGGCCTGGGAGGCCCGCCCGCTGCAGGCTCCTGGCTCGCTGTCTGATCCACACAGGGCCGCCTCTGAGCCGCTGGCCCTGTCTCCATTTTCAGCCTCTTCACGACCCCTGCAGCCTCAGGAATCAGATTCTGATCCACGGCCGGCTAGGGCTGCATCCAGAATGATGCACCCAGAGCCAGCGCTGCTAAACGTAGTCTGAGCTTAAACTGTCTTTGAACCCCTCAGGAGAGGGAGGGCCCTGGGTTTTTAATTCCACCTCCAAATGATTTAATTCTAAATGCCCTACATCCACATCCACCTGTATAAACCAAAGGGAACAACACAAACAGAAAAAGCGGGAGCCACTCAGGACTCTCCTTCGACCACCCTCACTGGGCCTCTAAACCACAAGAAACAGTAACTGCACAGGCGGCCTGAGTTTGACTCTGCCCAAGGAACAAAGGATCCGGTCACCCAGCCAGGGGGTCATTCAGGGCGTCCTGCGGGGTGTGCACGGAACTGGTTGCTGGGTGCAAGGAGTTAAATCAGTCGAAACACGGTCTGTATCAACATGAATTTCTTAACGCTTCCCCATCTGGAGCAACTGAACCCAACAGCTGGGGCCAGGGTAAGGGCTGTCTGGGCACAGGTCCTGACAGCAAGAATGACTCCAAAATCCAGATGTAGGATCAGGACGGCCCTTGCCTAAGAAGAGGGTTCAGAAGACTCATGAAATGAGTGACTATCGGTGGGAATCATCCTAGAAGACCTTACGGAGGGACCAGGGGCCGTTCAGCGGCGACACTGGTGGTTCTCAATGCTGGAGGCACAGGAGAGTCACCCAGGACGCAGCTCCCCCACCCCAAGAGCTCTCCACTGAGACTCTCCAGGGATAAAGCCCCAGCCCTGGGGTTTTGTGAAAAGCGCCCCTTTTGTAAAAAGCTGATTCCGATGTGCAGACTGAATTAGACGAAGGGCCTCTCGCACGGTCTTCAGGAAGCAGCCAACCTAAGAAGGACGCAATCGCGGAAAGCTGGCTCTTGAATGCGAGGCTGGGAGAACAGCAGGACGTGGAGAGGGATGAGACTGCACACCAGCAGGGCTGTATCCAGCGCGAGGCAGAGACAGCTCCCAGGTCTGCCGTCGGCCCCCGGAGCGCCACGCACAGCTCACTGCCTCCCCCACAGCTGGGCCCTCCGAAGGGCAGCTCTGCACAGATAACCCAGCAGCAGCGGCCACACGGGACACTCAGATTCCGGTGGCTTCCACGCGAAGGGCTTCAGAGTTGGAAATGGCATCTGCGCTGCATGGAAGCCAGCTACGGCGGCCGGCTGCTCGTAGGCGGCACATCCCATGACTGCAGGGTCACCTCCTCCCACCCACCCCACTTTCTACTCTTCTTTTAGTTTTCTGTTTGTTTTCGCTTTTCTGCTTTGTCCCTTGTGGTTGAGCTGTCACCTCTCGGCGGCCACCAGTCCACACCCCGACAGCCCTCGCCTAATTGTCTCTCTTGTCCCTGGAGCCTTAGTGGGTTGTGCGCTGGGAGACACACGACCAAGGCGGTTTAGGATTGTTGGACACAGAGCATCAGGAGATCTCTAAGGGAAGACCCTGATCGTCTTGGTGCTCAACTTCGTGGAAAGACCCTAAAGCAAGTTCAAAGAGGCATTCTAGAGAGCTGAGGTTTCTAGAAGAATAGATCTCTGGGTCATTCCGACCAGAGTTAATGAGCCCAGCACAGCCTTAGGACGTACCAATGACGAACTCTGGCTGTAACTTCGGGTAACTTCCTGTTCACATGGGGACGGCTAAACTGACCAACTGATAACCGAAGACTAGGCCTCATGAGAGATAAGACGCTGGATCTGAAGAGGAGGATAACGCAAGAACGAATCATGTGCTTCTGTGTTCAGAGGTTTTCACAGCAGATTTCTAAAAGGCTTGTACCGAGTTTGGAGGAGAGTCAAAACAGTGAAGTGAATCCAGATTAGCAAATCAACTCTGGAAGATCAGAAACAGCTCCATCCCTAAGGGTGTTTGGACTAAACAGAAGTACTTAGCTCTGGACTTTGTTTTTTTGAACCAAAAATGACATTGGCTAAAAAAGACATTTTTAGAGAATTTAAAGCGAAAATATCTCAGTGGGAAGAGTAAAGATGAGGCTCTCCTGCTCTGAGAAGCCCCTTCAGCAATGACTTCACTCTGTCAGATGGTTTTAGCCTGACAACGTAGACTCTGATTCATCACCAATGTCTGGGGACTTGGCAATAATGAATGGTGCAAATCTAAATTGATCTTCCACTGTAAATCAGGTTCCATGAAAGATCATAGAAAAAGCAGACTTTCTGCCTTGGATTTTGTGTTCCTTAAAAACTCTGTTGGATTCTGAGTCTCTAAATACAAGGAAGTACCTACTGATGTTCAGTCCATGTGGTATGGGAGGGAGTGGAGGCTTCCCACTGTCCTTGCAAGAGCTGAGTGTTCGTGTAGCCTCTCCCAGGCTCCGTTTATTTATCAGTAAAATAACAAGCTGGTCTACGTCACGTGTCAATATTTTACGAAACTTCTGGTTCCTGAGTTTCTGTCACTTTCCCTTGAGGACACTGTCAGGGATACAGTGGAGATGATCACCACTGATATCAAAGTGCAGACAGGGGGCCAAAAAAGGAATGCCTTCCAGTCTCTTGCCTTACTTCTGGAAATGGGGTAAGTGATGACCACTGCTCCTAATGTGCCAGAAATGATATCTCCCTGCAGAATTCGGACTTCAACAAAGCTGGCAACACTCGAGAAGCTTGGCTGGTATCATACAAGCTGTGCAAGCAGCAAAGCACTATTTGACTTGGAAATGCCAAGCTGTGCATGTCAACACGTTGTATTCAGGTGTTTGATGGGAAATGGCTCTCAAGTTTACTTCCTTTTTCCAGGAAAGGGCAGCTCTCTGGCTTCTAGAAAATGGCCTTGCCATAAAGCCCTGTGTAAGCCATTGTATCTGCCTGTCCATCCATCCATCCATCCTTCCATCCATCCGGACACGTGAGCTTTTATCAGCCCTCCAATGACTGCTCCTGTACACGGGGTGGTGATTCAGCACCACGGATGGAAACCAAACAAGAGATGCTATGCCCTGGCCCACTCAGGGGCCAGAATCGAGAACTCTTCACAGTCCCCAGACGTACTCTGGGACGTATGGTGTTTGTGATTTATTAGCTTGGACATCTGCCCCCTACTTCTCTCCAGGGACCTGCTGGCTCAGTCAACTGGAGGGTCAACAGACAGAAGGCAAGAAAGTGAGAATGGCCAGAATCTAGAGACAGAAGTTTGAAGACATCACTTCTAGGACTCCGCACATGGTGAGTGTACGG